AATAAATGGAGAGTGTAGGAAAATAGAGACAAGGCTACATTTACTTTTGAAAAATTAAGGAGACAGCTCCTTTTCCAAGATGACCTTGCAACTCCAACCCTTGAGGGCCCAGCACTTGCAGATGGGAGCATCAGGCATTGCTTTCCTTGGCCTGTGCTGGTACAGGGATGATTTGAGAAAATGTCAGATCAGCCGTGGAAGCATGAAATCTTCCCACAAGTAAGTGATTCCCTATTACCATCCCAAAAACTTTCTCCAGCAAGCTGCCCCTGTAACAGCCCTTCATTCAGATGTTTTCCTACAGCAAAGCAGGTGCTAAACAAAGAACCCTCCCTTGATTTTTTTGCCCATAAGAAAACCATATTTTTGCCATTGCTCTCTGTTTTTCATGAGCAGAATAAAACAGCCAAAGCATTGAGTCTCCATGAAGGAGCAGTGAGCATGCTGGTCATTTTGCAGCAGGATGCTGAGCTGCAGTGGAATGACTGCCAGGGCTCCAAGGCTGCATTGCCCCATCCCTGTCTGCATGTTCAAAGCCATGGAGCACAGAAAACACCTCCCTAGCAATTCACAGCTAAGTACACACACAGTCATTTACTTTCCAGCAGTGAGACAAGGCCCTTTCCTCAAAGCTGATGCAGTGAGTGGTGAAATTGAGGGCACAATTTAAAAACGTTCCCCAAAAAAATGTAACGATATTGAAATATGAATACAGTTCTAAATTTGTGGGAAGTTACAAGTAAGTACATCCTTACTGTATCACCTGGCGTCCAGCACTGGAGATAAGAGAGCAGAACACACTTCAGAAGTAGGTTGGAGCTATGGGAAGCAACAGATTGCTGCCATTAAAATGACATTTATCCGAACACTGTCAAAGAGTCTTTAATTTCAACAGTGAATAGCTGGTCCTTAGTAAGATTTAGTCAGAAAATATACAGAAGTGGCCAACAGCCACATTCATGCCCACAGTACTCAGCTAGTTATTATGACAAGCAGCAAAGTAGTTATAAAACCGTCTTGTCTCATTTCCTCCAAAATATAATCCTACTACCATTAGCATTTGCTGTGTCCTGAGAGTACTTCATGTGAACCACTCTGCAAAGAAATGGAGAGGACAAGAAGCATTTACCCACAGGACAAGATAAATCCGGTATCGCAATCGTTTAATGAAGGCTACAAATCCTGCTAAGTGTTTTTTTCATTTATAAGCTCTAGATAAAGGGCAGGACAAACTGTGGTTTCCCTCCAGAATGCTCCAGACAAAGGCAATGCCAATTTTGGCCTCATGACAATATGTTAATACAAGAGTATCTGCAATAAAGCCTTTACAAAGAACACCACAGAGTATATGTTTTAGTGACGTGCCACGGAACTGGTGTGTTTTAGCAGCATAATTCCCCATCATTATAGTCATGCTCCAGTGAGGTGCAGTCATTTTCCAAAGATAACACTCTTAACAGTATTATTCCATTTCTTTCATGCTATGTAATAAACAGGAGTTTCAGTTACTTCATTTGGCAGAGGCTGGAGCAGAACCAAGCCTGTTGTTCCTTGCCACTGAAGCTGTTATACTGCTTTACAAAACATTTTCATGTGCTGTTTTCTCCTTACCAGATCAGCCAATGGGACATTTCCAAGTCAATCTTTACATTATCTGATCACAATAAAATACATTAAAGATAGAGGAAACAGATTAGAACAAACTATAAATTAACTCTTCTTGCCTAATCTCTTGGATTTGTGATTTTACAAAAACAAATCAACCAGAGTTGTTATTACAGGACACACAAGAAGCACTTTGCTCAGATCCAAAGACCTTCTCCAGGTTCTCTCACTAAGAAAACAACCTGCAGAATCATCTTCACACGGTAACTATCACAACATCCTCAAATATCAACACACACCTGGAGAAACTGATACTTCTACTGAGATAAATCAAAGACAGAAACAGAAACATAGCCCAGGCTGCACCCAGCCCGTACAAGCTTAGCTTCACATTCTGCAAAAACAAATGAAGAATAAAATGATGGCTCATTTTCCCTCCAGGTTACCTTTGCTTCAGTCTCCTTCATTTCCCACCCAGACTGCTCCCTACCATGCAGCCTTCAGCAGGAGCACAGAGAACAGCCTCATCCACAAGAGTCCTTCCCCATTCAAGGTTTAGTGTCCAGCATTTAGTGTTCAGCTCCACCAAGCTTCTGTAAGTCACAGAGCCTTTCCAACAACACATACACACAAGTGTTAACTTTTACACATAATTTCAATATTATTTTCTAGTCTCCAGGATAGCACTGGATGAAGAACAAGGAGAGTTCTGTTGACATACCAGCTGTCTTGAGCAAAACAATCACATTTATCATTCCCCTTCCAAAAGGCAAAAATCCCCTCTACTCTCTCCGAGTTGCTCATAGCTTTGCTTTCCTTTTTATGAGCTACAAAAGACTAGCAGCCAAACACATCTACCCCACTTAAGTTGCAGAGCTCCTGCTTCCCCTTGCGGGCTGACAGAGTGGGACTGAGGAGTGAAGGATTCCCTTCTTCTGTACTTCCTTTGAGTTCAATCTCACCAGCAGCCACACCAGCCCTGGCCAAATAATTTACATTGCAGGAGCAAGGACCCAAAATTGGAGGCTACAGCTGTCAATTTAAGCCTTAGGCAAAATGGTCTATTTTATTTGCCAGTGAATGCAATAATAAGAATATTTCCTTCCAATTTCCACACTGCTATAATCTACCAAGAGGAACCAACTTGTATGAATATTGTCTTTATTTAGATTGACTTGATAATTCTTCTTCTATAACCCACGTCTACCTGTGTACCTCCAGTTCCCTGTACAGTGCTCCAATGCAGAGAGAAATAACGTGCTAGGAGCTTTCACCACGCATTAGTTTGCATTATCAGCACAGACATGCTGAACTAGTGAACCATGGACACTTACCCTCTCAACCCCCTTCAAACACGGCAGGAGCTGATAACACACTTGCCATTCAAGCTGAGACAGCAGAAGTTTATCCTCCCTCTCCCCAATGCAATAGGGAAGATTCTGTTGCACTTTGCAGGGCAGTGCAGTGTCAGTGCTCTGATACAGTGCAGTGTCACATCACAGCTGAAGCAATCAGGGACAGCATAATGGCACTGGAGATGGGCAGCTGGATTTGCTGGTAATCCACATGCCAGTGAGCCCTCCAAGTGGATGTCAATTTAACATCTATACTCTCTCCATCAATTAGTATCACATTGACAAAGCCATACATATGTATATGTGTATTTTCTTTTTACATATGCATGTCTGTCTGAACTATCTGCTCAGCAATCAATCCTCCTTTAATCAGTTCCCCATTAAATACAAACTCCTACATCTTCACACCCTGCTTTACCTCATCACGACTATGAAAATCCCTTTATAATGAGTAAATTGGCCTTTTAGCAGAACAGTTCATCTGATGGAGGAGGGAAGGGGACACAAGGAAGACACCAGCTGTGCAAGTCAGAGTTAGGAAACAGGAAAAGTCTTTATACCCTTTAAAAACATTGTTAATTAAAGTAGTAAAGTCATCCTCAGCACTTGAGAATTCTGAGAAAAAGCTTATTGCACGAAAAGTGCTTGACAGACCTGCTATCTCAGGTTTTCCACTGAAAGATTTCAGAAATTCCCAATCTCAGAGAAAAACGGAAGCATTTCACCCTGTTTTTCCCCTCCTGAGACATGGAGTGACAATATGGCTTATGGGGTTATGCAAAGATACCCCGATTTCTTAAGATCATTTCTGTAGATTTATCAATGCAAAACGTTCCAGTTGAAGGAGAACACAGGGGAAAATATTATTTCCACAGGAATGAGAAACACATCACTGAATCTGCTCAAACTGGCACAAAGAAAATTAAAAAGGACAAAATTTGGGGTGAAGCTTTCTTTCCCCTGAATACACAATCCCTGTAGTTCCTGAAATGCCATAGACTTGTTGCAACAGGATTAAAAATTATGTCCAAATTTTTGTCCAGCTTGAAATATAAAACCCTGATTGACAGCAAAAATAGGTCTTTCCTAGCAATCAACATGCTTTGTTTTTCAGCCTCTCTGAATTTTGTGGACAACAGCCCAGATTTTGGCAGATTATTTCATTAGGGGAAGCTTGCAGTTTAACTAAATGTGGCTTTCTCAACAGAAAATTGGTATCAATCATTTCACATATTTTAAGCTGACTTGATGATTCATCTTCAGGAAATCTGTATGAAAATCTAGAGTTATGGCTCATCACACAAAATTAAAGGTGCCCATCAGTTCACCTTTACTACTTACACTATTGTATCTTTACACACATAGAAAAAAAACATGCAACAACCCAAAAAATCCCAAGCCAAGTCTATTTCTTTTCTTGTTTTCCTCCACCTTCCTTCATGACATTGAACTCCAGAGACATCCACTGCAATCCACTTATCTGAGAAAAGGTAGGAAAAATCCCAGCTACAGTCAACCGTGAGTCAGCTGCTGCTTTATGAAATGTGATGTTCTCCATTCACAGTAAACTTTGCATAAACCTTTTTGTGGCCATGTTTCAGCTGAATTTTGCTCCCAGCATCCTGCTCAGATACAGAGGGTCTGTGCAAAACAGCCTATTACAGCTTGTCTCTGGTGGGGGATAAAGAAGAGGGGGGGAAAAGAGCCTTATTAAAGAAATTATGACTCGTTCAATACTCAGTCATTAAGCCAGGCTTGCCAAAGAAACCATATTTGTTCAATGTTTGGCTATTGGCAGCATTTCAGGTCTCAATAAACCCTCATATGAACAATTTAAATTCTCTAAACTCCCGTGAACTCAAAGGGGCAAAGGACATATTTGTCCCCAAAATAGTTTTAAAGAGACCTTGGTCTCTTTTCCAACTTCAGTAAATATGTGATACATACCTAATCATAATACCTTATTTACCATTAACTGGATTTATATTTTTGACAATTTTGTATAACACATATCCTAGGTAAATAGTAAAATAGCTTTACCTGAGTTCTGCTGTTCTAGATGCCCACCCAGAACTTGGAGAGGGTCCTGCATCTCCTCAGGCATGGGGCACAACAGGAGCAAACATTTCCTAACCCAACCTGGGCTTTAAGAAATAGGTGATGTAAATCTAATCAATTTAAGTGCCATTTCATGCCCCACACCTGACCACAATCCTTTCATTTGCCCACAAAGAGGGACAACACAGTGACTCCATTTAAAAGATTATTTCATTGGCTCTCTAAGAATGTTTGTTCTTCCTTAAAAGAAACAATGGGTTCTACCCACCCTACCATCTGCAATTTTCTTTGCAGTCACTGTTTTACTTAGCCAAGGCATTGCTGGGTCAGACAGTCACTTTAAAAGTAGAAGAAACCAGGTGCTTTTTATATAAACATAATTAAGCAATTTAATGAAAATCTGTTGAGTCCATGTCTCTCTGAGACTATGCAGAGCTCAGCTTGGTTTATTTCTGCTTGTTTTTCAATACATGCTGCACTTAAATGTAACTTTGCTGTCACCAACAGGTTGTCATGAGAATTAAATATTTTCCCTTTTTTAATTTTATACTTTATTTATATATATTTATATATATATATAAATACAAATGTGACTCGCCCAGACTTATTCTTAGTGAGTATTGTTTTAATTTGTAAGTATTCCTGTTAACTTTGATGTAATTAATGATGATTTAGTAATCTCTGACTATGGGAAGGCAGATTAAAGTTGCTGCTGTTCAAAACAGCACAGACAAAGAGAGAACATAATTAAATTATCTATCTGATTTTTCAAATTGTAACAGAGAGATGCATCACACAGCATGTCACTTCTGGTTTCTCAGAGAGCTTATTCTTCTTTTATTATGAACAGAATCATCTGTATCCACTGCATGAGACAATTGATTGGTTTCAGTATAACTGGATGTTTTGCCAGCCTTCACTGTGCTCCCACTCAATATGTCATGTAAAATAATGTGCTGAAAACTGGCTGACCTACCTGTCTGCTTGGTGTTTATAAGGAGTTTGTCTCCATGGTATTTCAGTTCTTTATCAGAAAACAAAACAGGAGATACAGGAAGCCAAGGAAACCTTGAAAGGAAAGCCATAACAGTGATAAATAAGATTTGATGGCCCAGACACAATCCTGAGAGGCTAATGACATGTCAGCACTCTCACCCTGCTTCCTGAGCAGCCTGGGAACACCACAATTCTCTGCCTGCTTCCACCTTGCTCTGGGCATTTATCCTGCTCTCCCCTCATCAGAAGCACATCACATACAAGGGGGCTGAGCTGCCCAGCCTTGTGGGGAGCAGAGCCAGGGTGGGACCAGGCATTACCACCTCCACGCTGTCCAGCCTGCTTTCTCCAGGGTCAGAGCCTGGTTTCAGCTGGGATAGAATTAATTTTCTTTTAGTAGCAGGTATAATGCTGTGATTTGAATTTAATGTTAAAATATGTTGATAACACAGAGATGTTTTGTTCTTTGCTAAGTAGTGCTTTCACTCAGGGATTTTTCAGGTTTCCATGCCCTGTCAGCACAGGTGCACAAGTTGGGAGGGAGCAGAGCCAGGACAGCTGCCCTGAAGATAAAGCAAGAGGAATATTCCCCACCACTGAATGTCATGTCCTATATATAAACTGGGGGAGTTGGCTGGGAATTGATCACTGCTCAGGGATGGGCAGGACATCCTTCTGTGGGTGGTGAGCAATTGCATTGTGCATCACCTGCTTCTCTTAGGTTCTATTCCTCATACCTTCTCTCCTTCTCTTTCTCTCTCTTTTTTTTTTTTTCATTTCAAATAAACTGTGAGTATTTCAACCCATCTTTTGTTTTTGATTCCCCTCCCCAGTGGAGGGAAGGAGGGGACTGAGTGAATGGCTATGTGGTGTTTAGTTGCCAGCTGGGATTAAACCACAACAGACATGAATACTACAGACACAAAAAGCATCAGCTAAATCTTGAAATACTTGCAGGAAGCTGCCTGGTAGCAGCTGTGTACAAAAGATCAGACAGCTGAAAAGCTGAAGAAACAGGCTGTGTATGGAAGCAGACATTGAGAGCACGGGGCACTGAGATCCAGGGTTCCACATCCCACTGTTGGGGCCAAGCTGAATCATTTTTAGGAACTGTACCATGAGTTTGTAACTGAGACAACTCCATTTGTCATGAGTTCACTTGATGTTTTGTCCAAGAACCAAGTAACTTTTGTACAGAGTGCTCACTTTATCCTATATGTAAGGGCTGAAGAAACACAGAAGCAAAATGAAAAGACTGGAAAAGATTACTTAAATTCTCACTTTCTTTACTCTCCCATTTTGAATCTAATCCAAGTTCAAGTGGTAAACAATCACGACGTTCTCTGGTAAGAAACACAATCTTCTTCATACGGGTTTGTTTCAGCAATATCTAAGGATAGAGATAGCAGAGAAGAAAGAAACTTTACAAAATCTGGGCTCATATGTAACTTACCTAGGAATTTTTAACCACTTGCTTGGATTCTAGGAGTCTAGCACATTAAAATATAAGGAAGTTAGCGTGATGAGAGTTATGAGCTCCTGCAAGTCTCTTTAAAGGCTCAAAAGTTTTGGCAAAGTTAAACTGGGATCAGAGGCCCACAAATGCCCAGACTAGACAGCAGCTGCTTCTACTTCTGTTCCTTACTGGCCTCTATGAGTGGTGGTGCTGTGAGTGTCCCTGCAGAAACACACATGATGAAGAAGGGGGTAATGTCACAGATGTTGTCAGAGAGTGCCAGATGGCCATGAAGCAAATTTTTTGATAAAGAAGTGGAGGCATCCAAGGAATGTTCCTGATTAAGAGACTGCCGGGAGGCTGCAGCTCATCCCCACGGCGCCTTCCCATGCACGAGCACTGTCCAAAGCAATAGAGCAGCCTGTCTTCTGCACAGGTGAGACCCTGGAGCCTGCCAGCAGGGTATGCAGCAGGGAATCCAGTGGGTTTGTCTCCTCAGATGGCCTTTAAACCATGGCACTTGATACAGATTTTTTTATAGTTCTGCTAAACCAAAGAAATTACTGCTGCCTCTTGCTTTTTGTCACCCCGCTTAATCAACCTTGATTTGTGTTGGCTCCTTAGGCAGCTGTCTCCTCTGCTTGCACACTCATACTGTAACCAAGTTAGGGTGTAATTCCTAGAATGACATAGGTCACAGTGATAAACAGACCTCTAGAAAGCATAGGGCTTAGTCCTTTTGGCAAACAGGAACAAGTCACGGAACTGAATTTTGTGCACACCAGGTGAACTGCATCTGCTGGCAGGTCTGTGAGGACAGAAGTGATCAAGTGACACCAGTAGTGCTAAAGTGGCACAACATTTATGTTTAGACAGGGTAGTAGAACCCCTCCAGCACCTGCTGCTTAAAGGGGAATCAGGAGAAGAACAAGAAAACAGGAGTGGGTGAATTTCAGAGCTGTCACGTTAAAATGGCCTCGCTGCTGCAGCAGCTCTGCTGCGAGCTCACACAGCTCAATGTGCTCAGGAAACAGCTGAGCACAGACAGAACAAAAACAAACACAAAAAAGGAACTCACTCACCACCAGGAAGGTTTTCCCTGGTGTCCTCAGCTAAAATGTTAACCTGGATGTCTTTCAGGATAAATATCTCAAGAGTTATTTGTACACAATGCTGCAGTGTTTACCTTTTGATTACAGATCTTTACACTCTGTCCATTATTATTGAATGCCAGGATGAAAGGCAGCCTAAGGGCCTGAATGCAATGTTCTGTCACAAAGAAATATAGCAAAAGTAATGGCAGGCTCTGAAACTAGAAATATATTAGGTTGGAAAGAAATAAGAGCACAGTTATCGGGGTTTCTTTTGCAGAGTGTTTGGCTTTTGTTTTAAGAGAAAGATTCATGCAGTTTTACCTTGACAGTGACATGTAAAGCCTGGATTTGGATATAAATATAGGACATGGGTATAAAATCCTCGTGACTAATTTCTGTCTCTTGCATCTGTGTCTGTACAAATAAAAAGGGAATTACAGGGGTGTACCTCTACATGCCTTTCTGTCCAGAACCACAATGAACACTATACTGTGCTATAAGCTATCTAGAATCCTCATTTTTAAGCATCCTAATGAAGTTTAATTTGTGGTTATACAACTCCTGTTTCAAATTACTCATACAAATATCTATGATTTTTACTAATCTTCTCTTCCTCCACTGGCATATAGTTTACTCCTTAGTCTCATCCCTGAGTCATACAACTCATTTGCAATTTTGATGCTTATGTTCCAACAGTCCAGATTTGGATTTTTAAAAGCCAAAGCCTGGTACTGTTTCCAGACAGTATTTTGATGCATCACCTGATATAGACAATTCATATTTTCAACAAGGTCACTTATGAAGTCTAGACAGCAGCAGAGGTGTGCAAACTTCCTTTAAAAATTGCATTGTGATACTGCCCCACTTATCACAACACTTTCTTCCACTGGCCAAATTTTGGCATGATTTTTAAAGAAAAGCCTTTTCACAGCTACTTACTAGTGTAGCTACACTGACTGGTTAGTACAGATTATCTGTAACTCTTGAGCCTAAGGGCTTTTTTTTTGGTTCTCTTTTACAGCATCTAAGTATTGCTTGCTGCAATATTTCTAGGATTACCAAACCCTCTTACTGCACTTAAAAAGTTCTGCCTTTCAGATTCACTTGAAAAGCCTCCTGTAATAGGCCAGTTAGACCAAAATACCACAGCACCACCTGACTTCAAAAACAAGAGAAAACTGACTTCAGGTAGATACAACTGCTTTAGATTTAAGAGTAGGAAAGCAGGCAGTAACAATTTTTCATACAATCTTACATTAGATTTAATTCTTACTAATAAGAAATGAGTCATTAACACTATTAAAATCTAATTACATTAGCATTTTTCTATCAAGTCATATATGAGTAGTTAAGTATTGATATTTGTTTTTTCCTAATGGAATTCAAAAGTCTAATTAAAAGTCTCTCTTTTGTGGTTATAGTGGAATGAATCTTTATTAAAACAAGACACTTCTAATAGCCTGAAATGGCATATTCCCTTAAATATCATATTTCAAACTACCTTCCTCTTCAGCACTTTAACCAGAACAGAAAAT